ATATGTGTGATGAAGGAGTGTTAGGTTTTGAACGCTTGTAACTTTGTCATCTATAGATGAAATTAAAATCCAAATACGCCAATCGATAGGATATTACATTACGAACCTGCTGAAATAAATACTTTTCTAATTTTTCCTGAAATTAAACTTTTGAAAATCTACAAATGATAATTGTATCACTGTTTTCATGAAATAAGCCTTTTGCCAAAACCCACATCATTCTGCTTGAACCTGAAGATATAAATCAGCGCTGCTCTCCTGCCTCTGCTCATTCTTTGCTCGACTGTCAAGCTGTTCAGCCCGTATTTTCGCTCGAGTTCTCGATTCAATTTTGTTTCGTTTTGTGCTGTCGCGTTGCGCCGTGGAAGTGTCGCCACCTTCTCGCGTTCTGGCAAGCTTACTTGAACTTGCAAACACGAAACAAATGGTGCGTAAACGTGCCAATGAGTCAGCAGCGGACCCTTCAAAGAAGGTGCTAATCAAGCCCAGCACGTCGCAGGATGACGCCGGAAAACGAGTACTGCAAGCCAACCAGTATGCAGTACTCCCGGAAGAAAATGGCAATGGTAACGCCGTTCCCATTGCAAGAAGAGAGCAGATTCCCCCCTTTTCACGCCGATGAAGGATGTTGCCAAGCTGGGTGCCGAACTGGCAAAACACAAGCTGCTGCCTCGCTTCAAGCTTTGCAGCATCGGTACCAAAATCATGTGCTCCAGCCTGGAGGAGTACAAACAAATAGGATGTTTCCTGAAGGACAACAATGTGGACTTCTTCACGCATGATCTGCCATCGAGCAAGCCACTGAAGGTGGTTTTGCGTGGATTACCATCGTTCGAGGCTGCTGCGGTGAAGTCCGAGCTGGAGCGGCTTGGGCTCCAACCTGAGGCCGTGTTCCAGATGAACCGGCGTCCAAACCAAAACATCAGCTTCCGTGATCAGTTGTTCCTGGTGCATTTCACGAAGGGATCCACCAGTCTTGCGGCTCTGAGATCCAAAATCCGGGACCTGTTTCAGGTCATCATCAGTTGGGAGCATTACAAACCCCAACATCGTGATGTAACGCAGTGTATGAACTGCCTCTCATATAGCCATGGCACCAAAAACTGCCACATGAAGACAAACTGCGGCCAGTTTGTTGGAACTCACTCAACTGCGTCCTGTGAGGAAGTCGATGACATCGAGCCAACGTGTGTCAACTGCGGTGGAAACCACCAAGCCTCCAATCGCGGATGTCCCAAGCGAGTGGAGTTCATGAATATCCGTCGGAAGGCTACAATAAACAATCAGCCCGGTCGCCTCCGTAATCATCGTTCGCCTCCTGTACTCACGGAAGTCTAGTACCCAGCTCTCCTCCAGCCCCGTCGACATGTTCCGAACCTAGCCCCACTTCCGCTCAACAACCAACAAGCCAATCCTGCGTCTCGCTGCTGCTGCGGCCCAGCCAATTCCACGTTCATTCATCCACCGCCCCTGGTTTATCATACGCTGGTGCTATCTCAGGTGAATCTGTTCACCTCGGAGGAACATGTGACGCTCGTGGCCGAGGTCATCGTCATCATGCGCACCTGCAAGACTCGATCTGAACAGCTTCATGCTGCCTTGTCACTCGTCACCAAGTATGGACCGTGAAGCTATAAAAATTGCAAATTGAAACGCTTGCTCACTGACGAACAAGCATAGAGAGCTACTCGATTTCCTCAACGCCAAGGAGGTCGACATTGCTATCATCACCGAGACGCATTTGGAGCCCGAACTGCAAGACGGAACATCAGTTGCCGGCTGCTACCAAACTTCCAGCTGAAAACAATTGAAGCCATCGGAGTGGAGATGAGCACATCACTTGGCCCAATCACCATCATCGCGGCCTACTGCCCCAAGCAAACCAACATCAGGGGCGGGTCGTCAGTGGCCCTCCGGAAAGACATCATCAAACTCACTCGGAGGAGCGGGAACTTTTGAACGCAAAACACCAAGCTTGGGGCAACGGTCGTAGCAATAGAAACGGCATCATCCTCAATGAAGACCTGCAAGAGGGCCACTATACCATCTTGGCCCCGGACTCTCCCACCCGGTTGAGTCGGTCTGGGGTCCATGCGACCATCGACATCTTCGTAAGCAACATGGGACACAACATCTCGCAACATGTGGCATTCCAGGAGCTGAGCTCGGACCACTACCCGGTGGTGGCCGAAGTTGGATCCTCGGTTAACCGATTCGAAACTTCCCGGCGCAACTACCATCGAGTCAACTGGGCGCAATATCAACACTGCGTCGACACAACCATCGACTACGATGTCCAACCGGGGAAGTCCGAAGATGTTGACCGGTGTCTACAAACCATCGAGGAGGCGATTTCCCGGGCCAGGGAACAACACATGCCAGTATCCAGACAGGTGAGTAACACTCTGAACCTTGACAGCCCTACCAAAGATCTCGTTAGACTCCGTAACACCATTCGTACGCAGTACCAGCGTACTGGCCTGCCTAACTTGAAGACCAATTGTAATCGATTAACAAAGATCATTCAGGCCAGGATGGTGGATCTAAGAAATAACGATTTTGCTAGTAAGATCCGCTCTCTCCCAGATTGTGCTAAGCCCTTCTGGAAACTTACAAAAATTCTTAAAAACAAGCCTAGGCCCATTCCACCACTGACCCCACTGGATCGTCCCGGCGACCCAGTGGTTCATCTGATAACTCCTGAAGAGAAGGCTGCAGCGATAGGTCAACACTTCGTCAGCTCCCATAATCTCGGACAAAACATCGTCAGCCCTCATGAATCTGAGGTTGCTGAAAATGCAACCAATTTTCTTCAGATTCCTAACATTTTTTCCAGAGGAATCCGAGATTACGGCTGACGAAATGTTGGCCTATATCAAATCATCTAAAAACATGAAGGCCCCAGGTTTCGACAGCATTCTGAATCTGGAACTCAAACACTTGAGTTCCAGATCCTTCAACCATCTGGCACTGCTTTTTAATCAGTGTCTCAGACTTGGCTACTTTTCCCTCGTGTTGGAAGTTAGCTAAAGTCATACCCATCCGGAAACCTGGGAAGGATCCGTCCGCTCCTTCTAGTTATCGACCAATCAGCCTTCTCTCAGGGTTATCAAAACTGTTCGAAAGAGCAGTCTACCACCGGCTCCTAACATCTGCCGAAGAAAACAACTTGTTACTCGAGGAACAGTTTGGTTTTTGGAAAGGACGTTCGACCGTCCACCAGCTGACTCGAGCAACAAACATTCTCAGACGGAACACGTCTGTTTCGACAACATCTGCCATAGCGTTGTTGGACGTTGAAAAAGCGTTCGACAATGTCTGGCATGATGGCCTGGTGTTCAAATTGCAGCAAATAAACAACTATCTATCAAACAGGACGTTCCGAGTCTCTCTGAATGGCATCACATCGGATGCTTTCAACATCGGTGCCGGGGTTCCACAAGGAAGCATCCTTGGCCCCATCCTATTCAACCTGTTCACCTCCGATATGCCGGCTCTCCCTGATGGTGGATCGTTGTCTCTTTTTGCAGATGACACATCCATCGTCTACAAGGGTAGGGTCATCGGAGCTCTGACTGCCAAACTTCAGAGAGGCCTGGACGTCCAGTCTGAATATTTCAACAGCTGGAAGATCCGCATCAACGCGGCAAAGACCTAGGTCATTATCTTTCCACACTCTAAATCTCCTAGACTTGTTCCGTCGGAGAATAACAAGATCTGCCTGAACGGCACAGTGGTGGAATGGTCCGAGGAGGTCGTGTACCTCGGGCTAACACTAGACAGCAAGCTTCTTTTCAGAGAGCACGTTGACAAAACGAAAACCAAGTGCAACATCTTGATAAGATCGTTGTATCCACTTATCAACAGGAAGTCAACCCTGTCCCTGAAAAATAAGCTTGCTGTCTACAAACAAATCATCCTTCCTGTAATCGAGTACGGTATGCCAATCTGGGAGAGTTGCGCAAAATGCCATCACCTTAGACTCCAAAGGATCCAGAACAAGATCCCTTAGGATGGTCATAAACAGTCCCCCGCGGACTAGAAATTCTGAGATCCACTTCCTGGCTGGAATTCAAACATTAGAAGAACGGAGAGTATTCATCCTGGAAAGGTTCAGAGACACCTGTCTGAGATCAAATCATCAGATCATACGTGATCTAGCATGTTAGGTTATGTCATACTCGTAGTTAGGTAGGTTATCACTTTTTTTTCAATTCAAATAAAACACATCCCCAAAGGGGTATTCTGTAAACTAGTTGAAAAACGCAAATGTTAAATTATTATATCAAATTAAACAAAGATGAAGAGCCAGGTAGGCTAATCAATTAATATGATAAATCAATGTTCTACCATAATCAACAGAAATAAATATAATTTTACTACTTCTACTACTACTTCAGGCATTCGATTCTCGGACGCCGAACAGAGCGCACCTCGCAGAGCTAACCATAGCAGAGCACCACAAACCAGCCGATACCAGTAATGGAATCTGGCAGATCGATGCCAAACCACGACACTTATTGCGAATTCGTTTATTATTCAGTTCCAACCTGGATCGGGTATCAAGATTGGGTCTACTAGTTTTCTGACAAACGTCAGTTTGCTCGTTTGTTTTTAAAACCCAGCTCAGGTTGAGGTTCGCACTGACAAAAAGTTCGGTTTCGCACTGGGTTGGAACTAGTGTTAACCCAGATAATAAACGAATTCGCTATTAAATAGGTTACTGCTTTCAGATCGGATTCACTGCAGAAGAGAACATAAATATGAGCTTCACAGAGATTGCGGCTATTGACTCAGCTTCACATACTGTACCGGCCAGGGAACATGGTTCCCGCTCTAGCTACTACCATGTACAGATGATGCAACTACAATGTCTTCGCATGTAGGTCTATTGTTCAAGAGCCACCCTGTACACCTCCCCCCACCCACTTTTATTTGAAATAATCGCTTATCAAGCTGAATGGCACTTGAAACGGGTCAATTGTTCGGCATTATCTAGAAGGAGGTTAACGCTGACGGAATACAGTTTTCTTACTACTGTTCTGCACTTGGAAATAAATGTTTCTCATCACGTAAGTCTTGACAATGCAATCATTATAAAACTCCACCGTTCAAAGTTAAAATCATCAAAAATTTCGTCTAGCGTTCTATCACTCACTTTCACCACTACCGCCATCAACATTCACGCCGAAGAATTCCCAGCCTACTTCAAGTTCGGCATCGGTACATCAGCCTACCAGATCGAAGGTGGCTGGAATGCCGATGGTAAAGGCGAATCCGTTTGGGACCGATTGGTTCACACTGAACTCCCCGCATTCATCAGCGATGGCAGCACCGGAGACATCGCCTGTGACAGCTACCATCAATGGCGCAGCGATGTCCAGATGGTGAAAGAACTTCGACTGGACTTGTATCGATTTTCGATCGCTTGGAGCAGAATCCTCCCTTCGGGTTCGGCTCATCAAGTGAACAAAAAGGGGATCGATTACTACAACAAGCTAATCGATGAACTTCTCTCCAATGGAATCACCCCCATGATAACGTTACTTCACATGGATCTACCCCAAGGCCTGCATGATCAAGGTGGTTGGCTGAACCCCGAAATCGTCCAACACTTCTCCGACTACGCAAACATTGCCTTTGCCAACTTTGGCGATCGAGTGCAGCTATGGACAACCATCAACGAACCTGGCCACTACTGTATGAGCGGCGACAAGGTGATCACAGATCCATTCCATCCAGGAATCACCGAGTATCACTGCGCACATAACCTACTGAAAGCTCACGCGGAAGCCGTTCATTTGTATCGATCACGCTACCAACGCCAACAGAATGGTAGCATCGGTATTTCCGTGGGAGGAATGTGGCTGGAACCGGAAACCTTCAGCTCCCTGGATGATTGGGAAGCCTCCGAGTGGGGCCTGCAGTTCGAAATCGGATGGATCGCTCATCCAATCTTCTCTGGAGACTACCCGCAAGTGGTTAAGGATCGCGTGGGTAATTTGAGCGCAGAGCAAGGGTTTCCGAAGTCAAGACTTCCGATGTTTACGCAGGAAGAAGTGCGACGGATCAAGGGAACCGCAGACTTTATCGGCTTGAACACCTACACTTCATCGTTGGTGAGGAAGAACGGCTGGGCCAACTCAGCAAATTATGTTGTGCCCTCCCATGATCATGATTCGGGGATCGTCAGGAGTGTTGATCCCAGCTGGACAGCCACGGAAGCATCGTGGATAAAGATCGTTCCATTCGGTATGCGGAAACTGCTCAACTGGATTCGAGTGGAGTATGGTAATCCACCGGTGTGGATTACGGAAAACGGGGTCGCTACCCTACCGGGTACGGTGGATGATCAACGGGTGGACTACATGAATGGTTACCTCGGTGCAGTTTTCGATGCCATTCAAGATGGTTGCAACATCCGTGGATACCTGGCGTGGAGCTTGATGGACAACTTTGAATGGTCGTTCGGTTATACGTAAGGCTTTACAAAGTGATGTTTACAGAATGCGGGTTTTAAAATGTTCTGTCTTGATTCCAGCTTGAAATTCGGCTTGTACCACGTGGATTTCAAAAGTCCAAATCGGACTCGATATGCAAAGATGTCAGCCAAAGTGTACCGGAACATTGTAGAAACCAGACGAATAGATGACGGATACCGACCTCAACCCGATGTGGTGATTCCAGTGCCCTCGATGGCGACCATTGTACTACCAAGAGTCATGTGTGTTGGCGTCCTTTTGTGGGTTTTAATGTGAGGATCTAAAGCTCTTTCCAACCTTTGGCAGGAGCTTATATGTAAAACCTTATTGCCAGGATTTCGATTCATACTTTCACAATATGAGCCTGTGCAAACAATGGTAAAGATTGATGAACGTTTAGAGGTCGCGCCAATTATTTGAAATTTGTATGGAAATTACTATGGAAGAATTAAAAAATCAGTCCTTTTCCCACACTCTGGAGGGTGGCCTATCAAAAATTCATCTCTTTTTTTTCAAAATGAAGCACCCTAATGCGGACTTGGGCAATGTTGTTGGAATTGCAAATCTCAACAAAGGTAGATAAATTCAATACAAATACATCTGTTAACAATAAATACGAACACCCTAGGATTAAAGTTATAACAGTTTCAACTTTGTTAGCAGAGTGTACACACTACCACGCATCTCTCTTATCACCTATCGGTCTGATAGAGCTGTCCGTTCCTGAACGTTTCGATTTGGTGAAGAAAAGGTCTCTCTGCATTAACTGTCTATCAACGGATCACCAAATTAAGAACTGTTCATCTGGCGCCTGTCGTGTTTGCAATCAAAAACACCACACGATGCTCCACCAGCAACCTCCAATTCGCAATTCGGCCCATCCAAATGTTTCTAAGCTTCACCAAAACCAACCAACCACAAGTCAGACTCAATCTCAATTCCAAACCGCTCAAACGGCTCCACCAAACGCAAATAAGACTTCCTCGCAATCTCCTCCCGCTGAAAGTCAACAGTTAGCCACTGGTTCGCTCAGTTATTGCTCCACCTCCTTGGCTGCCAGCTTTCATCGAATCCCATCAACTGTGTTGCTGCAAACGGCTCTTGTAAAGGTCGTCGGATCTTCTAGGAATATTATGTGGGCTAGAGCATTGCTCGATCCTGCTTCACAGCTGAACATCATTTCGGAGAACTTAGGTCAACGATTGAAGCTGTCAAAGGTCAAAGATCATCACACCATCGGAGGTATCGGACAGTCTACCATTGTGTCTACCCACTCCATCACAGCCGAGATCCAGTCACATTGCTGCAACTACCGTACACAGCTGAAGTTTCACGTGCTGAGTTCTGTGACACGTGAGCTGCCTTCAAACAACATCGAAGTCACTGAGTGGCCTTGGCTTAATGACATCGTGCTTGCTGATCCCCAATTCAATGAACCAGGGGTAGTAGATATGATTATAGGAGTTGATAGCTACTATGACCTTCTTCTCGATGGATTTATCCGCCTCGGTGCGGGACAACCAGTGCTGCAAAATACTTTGCTGGGATGGGTTGTTTCTGGCAGGGCTGGGGTCAGCCGACCCGAACCGGAGATAGTTAGTATCGTCCACGTGTGTACGCAAGATTTCGATGAGAAACTATCCAGATTTTGGGAGTTGGAAGCTTGTCAGTCCTCTAGTACCATGTCAGTAGAAGAATCCACTTGCGAGGCTCACTTTGTCGTAACGACTGCAAGGGACACCTCTGGTCGATTCATGGTAGCACTTACGATAAAACCGTCCGTTATATCCCTGATGGGAAACTCCTACGAAATCGCCAAACGCCGCTTTCTGTCGTTGGAACGCCGTTTACAAACCAACCCTCAGCTCAAATCTGCATACTCGGCTTTTATCGAAGAATACCGGGACACATGAAAGAGATTACAGATATCAAGCTACCAACCCAGTATACTCCCTACTATTTTCCACACCACTGTATCGAACGTCCTGATAGCTTGACCACTAAACTTCGTGTCGTGTTCGACGCCTCCTGCGCCACTGATACTGGCATTTCCCTGAATAACACGCTTATGGTAGGGCCAGTGGTGCAAGATGATCTTGTATCCCTAATTCTTCGATGGCGAATTCATAGGTACGTCATTATTGCGGACATAGAAAAAATGTACCGTCAAATCCTGATGAATCCTGCCTTCCAATGTCTTCAGCGGATACTCTGGCGAGATGACCCTTCGGGGCCGATTCTGATCTTCGAGCTAACGACGGTGACTTACGGAACCTCTTCGGCCCCATATCTGGCCACGCGATGTTTGTACGAACTCTCCAAGGAAGGTCATTACTCGAACCCTTACGCCGCTAAAGTTGTAGGCAAGGACTTCTACATGGATGATCTGCTTACGGGATGTAACGATGTAGAGGCTGGGAAGATCTTGTGTACCCAACTACTCCAGCTTTTGGGCTCTGCTGGATTCCAATTACGAAAATGGTCGTCGCACTCTCCAGAGATTCTTGCCCACATTCCTCAACCGCTGCGAGATGAACGCAACGTCCTAGGACTGGATCCGGGAGCTTCGATCAAAACGCTAGGTCTGAGGTGGGAACCCGCATCGGATGTCCTGGGCTTCCACGTACCGAAATGGAAGGAAAACCATCACATTACCAAACGGATTGTTGCTTCCGATACTGCCAGTCTGTTTGACCCTCCAGGCTTCCTAGGACCCATCATAGTAGTCGCTAAACTGTTCGTGCAAGAACTATGGAGAAGCAATCGTTCCTGGGACGAGCCCCTAGAAGACGAAATCCAGCAAAGATGGTTACTGTTTCGGTCGCAGCTTGCAGTAATCGAAAACCTCACCGTTCCACGCTGGGTTATTCCGATTGTCAACACGACCCACATCGAACTTCACGGTTTTTGTGATGCCTCTGAACGGGCATACGGGGCCTGTATATATTTACGTGCCGTATCCAGCAATGGAGACACCTATGTTCGACTCTTGACGTCAAAGTCGAAGCTTGCACCACTGGAAAACACTCTCAAGCAAAAAAAAATCTGTTTAGCTCGACTGGAGCTATCATCGGCACTATTATTAAGCCACTTGTTTCAGAAGGTCCAGAAAGCATTGAACCTCTTCATGAAGTGCTTTTTCTGGACTGATTCTATGATAGTGCTTCACTGGATATCGGCGGCTCCGTCCCGTTGGAAAACTTTTGTTGCCAACAGGGTGTCGGAAATACAGCACCTGACTGCTGATGGGTTGTGGGCTCACGTTCCAGGAAGTGAAAACCCAGCAGATATCATCTCCAGAGGAATGTTGCCAGCAGAACTCAAGGATTGTGCGACATGGTGGAATGGTCCACCCTGGCTCAGTCAACCAAACCGGTTTTGGCCGCCTCTAGTCCGCCTTCCCTCTGAAAACATCTTCGTTGAAGACCTCGAGGAACGTTCGATAGCACTTCCCATTCAAATCAGAGCTCCAAATCTGTAAGTTGCGGCTTACTTGCCAGCCTATAGCTGGCCCGATTTACCCCGGCGGGGCGGCTACGAGCAGAGTACTTCCCCCAAAGACGTTCGGATTTGGATGGATTGTTAAGAAAAGAGAAAGAAAAGTACAATTTAAGACGTCTATTATCCTCTAACCTTTCCCTTTTCTCCTCGTTATCCTCGGTGTCACTCGGTGGGGCCCTTCGACGATAGCGGCGGTGGTTGCAGATCGTACTGCTTCACGTTAGCTGCGTAGCAGCGGTCCTTGGCGTTTAGCGGGGGGGATGAGCAAGGCTCCTTTATCGGAACCCCCTCGGCGACGATGGTGACGAATCACCGGACCAACTACTCGCCGTAGATGGTCCCGGTAGTCACCGCAGTGCACTACCCAGGCGAACGCTCCTTCGGTTCTGCCTGCTTCGTCCCTCCTTGGCTCTTAACTGCGGTGGCGAGACTGGCTCTACTGGCTGAGCCACCGCAGTGAGGACGGTGGGTGTTCGGGGATCCTTGGGGTTTAGCCGGGAAGCGGAAAAATCCTCGAAATTTAGCTTCCCTTGGCGGCGATCCGACACTCTTCACTTCAGCTCACGAACCACGGCACTTTTCGGGGAAACGACGTCACTTCCACGCGACGGTGCTGGGAATTATCCCTCCAGCAGACACACGCCACGAAAACGGCACTCCCACTCTCATTTTTACTGAAACGGACCGGGCAAAAACCGCGTCGACTTCCAACCGTGGCTCGTAACTTTCTTCTCCCTGTACTACTTGACAATCACTGACAATACAACAACCGCCATCGTTCTCCTGCAACCGCGCTCGAATGTTGTGCTGCTTATGTTTTTCGCCTTATTTTGCAGCGGGAGGAGAAACGGGACCTAGCTTTATTCTACACGCGAGACAATTTTGAACGATAATTTTTACACTATATTCTAATCCTAAAAACATGCCTACACGAATAAAATCTACGATGAAAATAACAAATTAAAATATTTACAAATAAAGCAGTGGTGAGTATGTTGCCGAGCGTGCGACCAAAACAAAAACAAATCATAACAGACAAGGCACACGCTCATGGCAAACACGTTAAAATGGTGGGTTATAAATTGTCACCCTAGACGAGGGTTACAAATCCTATCTTCGGTCTTCGCTCATCTTACGCTAAGCTGATCTCTCTAGTGGCATATCTCTTGAGATTTTGTCACAATTGCAAGCAACGGATGCATCGCGAACGAAGAACTGGTTTTCTCCGTACCAGTGAATACAACAAAGCACTGAAGGTCCTCGTTCGGATCGCTCAACAGGAGTCGTTAGAAGAAGATCTTCAAGCCGTAGCAGTCTGTGGTGAAGTTAACCGCAACTCAAAATTGAAGACACTTGCCCCCATTTTAGATGATGGAGTGCTCAAGGTGGGTGGCCGTCTGCATAACGCACTGGTTCCAGAAAATCGTAAGCACCCGATGATTCTTCCCGCAAACCATTTGTTCACGGAGATGGTAGTAACCTACTACCATCAGAAGCTTCTGCACGCTGGCCCACAGCTGATGATCGCTAGTCTTCGGGAACACGGCCACTGAGAGTACGCAACTTGGCGCGGAAAGTGGTGCAAAGCTGTCTAAAGTGCTACCGTTGCAAACCGACCGTCCAAGAGCAGCTGATGGGGGACCTTCCCAGCGAACGGGTGACTCCAACGTACCCGTTTTTAAAAACCGGCGTTGATCTTTGCGGTCCGCTCTTCTATCGTCACATCAAACGCAAAACACCTCCGGTGAAATGTTATGTCACCATCTTCGTGTGCCTGGTCACAAAAGCGGTGCACATCGAATTCGTGGCAAACTTAACTACCGATGCCTTCATATCTGCCATGAAACGGTTTATCGCACGACGCTCGAAGCCAGCAATTATCGAATGTGACAACGCGAAAAATTTCCAAGGAGCGTCCCGAGCACTGGCCGAACTTCTAACGCAATTCAGATCCCAGCAGCACCAACATGCCATCGTTTCCTATTGCGTAGAAGAAGGAATTCAGTTCAAGTTTATACCCCCTTGCTCCCCCAACTTCGGTGGGCTCTGGGAGGCCGCCGTTAAGTCATTTAAGAAACACCTCAAATCAACCATCGGTACAACGGTCCTCTACAAGGATGAGCTGGAGACGCTACTCGTCCAGATTGAGAGTTGTCTCAACTCCAGGCCACTCACCCAACTGTCCACGGACCCTGAAGACCTTGAGGCTCTCACGCCAGGACATTTTTTGGTACATCGTCCTCTAGTTGCTGCTGCAGAACCATCATTTGAATCTATGCCACAGAACCGGCTCGATCGCTACCAGCAGACGCAGGAATTTGTAAGAAGGATATGGAAACGTTGGAGCACGGATTACCTTTCCGGTCTACTACCGCGTACTAAGTGGACTCGTCAGCGTGATAACCTTGCTGTCGGGACATTAGTGCTTCTGAAAGAAGAAAAACTGCCACCACTGAGATGGTGCCTCGGTCGTGTCGTTCGAATTTTCCATGGCGATGACGGGAATGTTCGTGTAGTCTCGGTGAAGACGAAAAATGGTGAATTCACCCGTGCAATTAGCAAGGTCTGCGTGCTTCCTATCCAGCAGCCAGCAAGTGCTGATGAGGATGATGTTCTCGCTGCAATGTAGCATCTTGCAAACCCTACGGCGCCGTAGTGCCGTGTGTGTTGTCCCGTCAAACCATCAAATGCAAAACTAATGTTTACTCTCGTTCCATGCTTATCCAATGCTAACTTATCCACCAAAACTGGCTACTTTCGCTTCAACCACATCGCAGACGCTTCAAATTCACTGGCCTCCGTATTCAACCGTTCACAGTCCGAACACTCTCCATGGCCGCCGAACATGCTCCAGGATACCATCGTGCACAACAGATTACGTCCGAAGGTGAGTTGTTCCGGTTTACACTTTTCTCTCATTGGATACTACATCAATTCTTCGCTCCGAGGTTCAACGGCAAAAAATACTAACCATCTATGACGACCGAGGTCCAGTATCCTACCACATTGAAGCCTGCTCCTAGTAATGCTACCACCAATGAATGAAGAATCGTGCGAAGAACGAAGTCGACGTCCAACGAAATCAGATTACCATCCCGAGATCGAAGTAGATGTCAACATCCTGAAGATGCACTGTTGAGCGTACGAGTTGCGTGAGGATCAACAACGATGCAAGTCGTACCGACGTGTCACAGGGTCAGAACCGACGTGCCGGTAACCACCATGCCCAACCACCGACTGCGAGAGCCGAAGACCAGGAGTGCCAGAACAACAGTTTAGAGTAGTTACATTAAACCTAATGCAGCATTTCAAATGAATTAGAATAATGAATTTTGCTGTCTCTTTGAAAATCAAATTAGCTGTAGATCAGGAATATTGAAAACCGCACTTTTCAACAGAGGCCGGCTATGTTAACAATAAATACGAACACCCTAGGATTAAAGTTATAACAGTTTCAACTTTGTTAGCAAAGTGTACACACTACCACGCATCTCTCTTATCACCTATCGGTCTGATAGAGTGAGTGAAAGGATATCAATAGGCTTTTTACAATTCGTGTGCAGGTCGTGTTTGCAATCGGACTCTTTGCATATTATATAACCAGTATAGGCCAGGCCAGTTCAGTTCAATAAAGACCGCCAACCTAAGAGCACTTCTTCACTAATAAACCGTTTTTCTAGTCTGATACCGAGCCAATCTAGTTTCTTTTATTTTCGCACAACATCCTTTAGGGGTATAAAATCTTATCTATTTTATTGTCCTGAAAATCAAAAGAAAACACTTCCAACGCAGTGAGAAAATAAAATCAAAGAAAAAAACACTTTTAGAATCAAATGCCTGAGAATCGATTCTAAAACTATCTCTCTCTAAATCTCGGAGAGAATTCAGGTTAGGTGTCGTCCACAAACTGCAATTTCTCAACTGTCCTCCTTCCAATTGAGCTATTATTTTTTGTATGTGATTATAGAGTCAACCATAATCTTGTCACCTACAGGAAATCAGCTCAATTAGTTAGAAGACAGCCGAGAAATTGCGGTGGATGGACCTATAACCTCACTCACAGTGGCTCCACGATTTGGACCCTTTGTTTTACGATCACCTCGCATCGCGGGAAAGCGACTCGCAGGCTTCGGATCACCTCTGGTTGCATGGTACCCGTTAATGGGCAAAGAGCCAGCTCCAACCGTTTCAACTCGCCCATGGCCTTGATCAATTTTCGCAGCGACTTCAGCGCAATGGTCGACACCTCCATGATCAATGTTTCCACCGGAATATGCGGGAGATCCTCCAGCGGATAGGTATCCAACACGTCCCTACATCTGATCCTTAGCTCCCGGGAACCTGGAGAGGCGCAAAATTCCAGAAACGGACCTAGCTCTAGGTTGCTTTCGTATTGGCTAATCGCTAGTCGCTTCATAAAAGGCATGGTACTGCATATGTTGTCGTACAGTTCGAAACGATCTTCAACGTCAAAGTCATACAGCTCCAACATCTCAAAGACGGCTAGGCTAGGGAAGATATACTGACGAAAGCGATTAAACTCGAAATAATCGGTGATCCTCACTCCGTCCAATGACAGCATGTGGAGATTCTTGAGCGGTGGGAAATTAAAAACAGTTGGAACACTAACGATAGCGTTCTCGATCCGCAAGCGCTGAAATTTACACGATTAATCTTATATCTTTCTTAAACAACTACTTATTCTTAACAAACCTTCAAATGTTTCAGCTTACAAATTGCCCGAAAGTCGTTTGCATCAAGAGATAATTCCTCGGCAAAGCCAAGGCAAAGAAACTGCATGTTTCCGAACGATTGCAATTGGCACAGATTGCCGACATGATCAAATAAGAAGCTTCGAAGGGTAAGTCCTTTCAGTCTACTTAATTGTTGGAAAAGTCGAACGATTACCCCTTTTGAATGGACAGCGTCAAACTCCCCTTCAATGCAGGAAATGGTGAGCTTCTCCAGCAACGGAAACTCCATCGTGCAAACCAACAGGAAGTCATCCTTCAGCAGAAACCAAATTTCGAGTTCCACCAATTGTGAGCTAACATGTTGTAGGAAATTTAGCGATTCTTCCGATTTGATCAGCACGTGTAATCTGGTGATGTTCGGCGTAATATCCCGCATGTTCGGAATCAAAGTCAGCAAGTTGTTCTTTAGGTATAGTTCCTCTAGGTTATTCATCGGGGAGAATTTCAAGTCGCCCTGCTCGGATTCGAAAATGCCTTCATCTATTTGAAGGTGCTTCAGCTTGGATGACAGCTCTGCGATTTTAGCAAAATGCATCAATTTAACCTTCCACCAATAATTGTCGTTATTAAAAACGCCTTTGAAAACCGGTTCGAAATTAAGCTTCAGTGATTCCACACTCAGGGAGAAAGAACTGAGGATCTCCAATAACAGGTCGTACTTTTTGAAATAGTTACTGATGTAAACCACCACGTGCTTGTACCGCCGACTGCTGGCAAGCAAGGCTCGATGATACTCATGGTAATCCTTCTCGTAGAATCGATCAGAGTCAATTATCAGCTCGACCGATGCCAAGTCGAACGGCTTCAGCGCAGACCAGCGTTTGCAGACGCGCAGTGCCGATATGCGATCTTCAACTCTCAGATAGAGCAGGATTTTTTCCAGCATCTGGGAATTATTCGGATTGCGCTTAAACACACGGTTCACGTGATTTAATCGAACGAATTCCATTACTTACCTCATCTGGAAGATCATGGACAGTCACTTCGCACGACATTTTGCAAAAATAGTTACTTCCAACAAGTTACTGTTCCGGCAGCAGCAATTTTCGCTATTTTCAATAATGTGCAAAACTTCTCTGTAGGATTGGGCGATCTTGGATCGATCTTTGGAAGATCGATCTTTTTCATCCCGATTTCCGATTTTTCGGATCGATTCTTTGCCCGCGAAGGGATCGAAAAAATCGATCTCTTTTTTTCGATCTTTTCGATCTTCAGAAAAATAGGTAACATCTGAAGGTTTGCGCTACCTCCGCCCTGTGCTCATTGCTCCTTCACGACAACATTTAATTGAATATTATTAAGGAAACAATTTCTTGAGGTACCACCGTACACAAGCGTATTAAAATAAAAATCAAAAGATCGATCCTTTGGTACCGATTTAATCAGTGGATCGATCCTAGAGCCAAATATAAGATCGATCCGTCAAGATCGATCCTTCTCTGAAGATCGCCCAATCCTACTTCTCTGACATGGACATCACTCACTCCAATGACTTGATTACCGAGGTGAAGCAGTCGGTTAAGTTGTGTGAGTAAAACCCCTGTATATATACGATACATGCAATTAGTGACGTCCCTACTCGCGTCACTTTTCAAATAGACCAATGTAACATATCCACCATTTTGAGAAAATCGAAGTTGAAGTTCGACAGATTATTATTTTAACTGTTTAAAAACAATTAATTTTGCAATACTATTATTAATGTAACTTCCTTTATCGAATGGCATTGTTATTTTGTGTGGGAGTGTTTTGATTGTCGAGAATTTTGTGTTTAAAGCCATTGTTTACGTTTGGTTGTTCCGCCTATTTCAATTGTTGGTGTTGCCTCCGTTGCCTCCACTTGAGAACACATTGCCAATGAGAATAACTCAAAGGGAGAGTTATTTTTACTCAGCTCAGAGGTATGCACGCTATTTAAAAACTGCGGAAAATCTCAAAAATCTGCCCGAAAATGAGGGAATTGACGAACATTTTATTCAGTCTAGCAGTAATAACCAAAAGACTGAGTGAATCGAATCTTTACTTTTCTCATATTCGGAATTTTTTCCTGGAAAAACCTGGGAAAACATGCGGCAAATTTATTCATCGCTGACTACACGGCGAATGAGAACGACTCAAATTTGAGTTTAGTTCACTCATAATCGCCAAAAGTGCAGGAACTCAGCGATGAGTAAATTTGTCTCATAGTTTCCTGTGGAAAACCTAAAAAATCTGCCGGAAAATGAGGAAATTAACGAAAATTTTATTCAGTCTCGGAGTAGTACCAATAGACTGAGTGAATCCAATCTTTACTTTTCTCAAATTCGGAAATTTTTCCCTGGAAAATCCTGGAAAAACCTAGGAAAACATGAGGCAAATTAACTCATCGCTGAGTTCCTGCACTTTTATCGATTATGAGTGAACTAAACTCAAATTTCAGTAGTTCTCATTCGCCGTGTACCTGCACTTTGTGATTTATGAGATAACTAAACTCAAATTTGGGTTGTTCTCATTCTTCGTGTACACTCTAAGCTACCGTTATAGCAACAATCAATACGAAACTAACGATTTAAAATTGGCTCACTACTTGACTAGCCTATTGGTCCCAAGTAAACGATTAACGTACCCCATTCTAGTCGAAATTCTAGTACTACTCAATGTTTGTTTTGATTTGCTATGAAAGTTTGACAGATAAAATGAGGGGTTATTGGTTTTTCCTATGTTTCGAGGGGTGAATCGTTTAGCTTGGGACCGAAGATAGTACCAGAGCTGAGCCAAAAAGATGAGCACGCTTCTGCGGGACCTTCTGGTCTTAGAGTTACCTCTATGGTTATAGTTCATGCCTTGTTCAGACCTCGGTTCAGACTACAGAGTTATAACAACAATCAATACGAAA